ATACTAATTAGATATTGCTACACTGGTTAATATATTAGGAGAGGAGGGAAGTAGCAATTATAGTACCCACTCATTCTCAATTTCAAAGACATTGTGTTCATAGGTCAAATAATCAACATAGATTTATTTATTTATTTCAAGGTTTTCTTGATTGCATAGTAAACTACGAAGGATTACCTAAATAATTAATCATTTATGAATCATTGCTTTTTTATGGGGTGACAGGGATTGCAAGAGGAGGAACGATATCTGGGATATCTGGGTAAGGTTTTTTTTTAGAGACCGAGACAGAGATAGAAGAAGCGTTTATATCACATGTGACAAGAAGGGCATTTGAGAGCAAACAATTCATTGCTCCAAAAGGATCATGCTGTCTGGATGGAATGGTATGGAAAGAGCCACCGTTGGTTGCTAACCTTGGAAATTTTGTGGCTATCTTTGGTGGTATGAAGAGAACAACCTAGGAAATATATGCTCATTATTATACACACATAATTAGTATGATGTATATGAAAGTCTACCCATTTGTCCCTATCAAAATACCATTTCATCATTATTCAGTCTATATTGAATTAATTACAAAAGTAGTAATACGCGGTAGATGTTTAAATTACACATAATATTGGGCATAAACTCACTCGCAATAGATGTACAAAAACTAGTAATCATATATGTGTGTGTGTACAAATATTGATAAGACTACGGTTTCTATATCTCCGACTAGCCCCTGCCTAGGCGCTCGCTTAGTCGCCTAGGCGTTGGGCTAGCACCCGACTAGCGCCTAGCGCCTTTTAGAACATTGAGTACACTGTTTAATTTTAACACTGTTTGGCAGTGCTTAACGTTGCTTTACATTGTGCTGTCATTATTGTTTAAAGGTAGTACCGTAGTAGAGTAAATTAATATAAATTTATTTACTAAATAGGGAAAGAGACTTTATTTAAGGACATCCAAAAAGAAAAGTGAAAAATTTATTTAACTACGGAGTATCACCTAGATTGCTTTCTCTCTAGGGTTGCCGCAAGCTAACACTTAGCATCGATTTGTCCGCTATCGACTTAGCCGAGGAGCGGGGTTGGTTTCGGCCGGCCACCTGTTATTATCGGAAATTGGAGGTCAGACGGAGGGGGTCGGACAGGAGGCTAGGGCAATCATCGCGGATCGTGGTTTCGTCGAGGAAGAGCTGTGAAGCGGCGTTCTGGAGGGTTGTCGGGCAAGGCGTATCGCAGCATCGCAAGGCCTGGGACCAGGGATGCAGCGCTTTGGCGGCCAAGGCTCGATTTATGCTGTTGTTTCTGGTCGAAGGTCGAGTGTTGACAAAGAAAAGGTGGATAAGCTGTGGCGGAGTATGTTTCAATTCAGCAGCAAATGATGTTAAAGAAGGATATCGTCAATCAATACAAAAGCTTGACTATTGAGGTGGATGAGCGGCGGGCTCATCCCCCTTCTGAGTCGTCGCCATAGAGTGCAAGCAAGTCTAGGGTTTGGAAGAAGATGAGTGAACTCTGTTTTAATTACGTTTTTTCTGTTTGTGTTTTTCTTTTGAATTGATGTTGTTTTGAACGTGTTCTTATTTCCTAGCAGAGAGATTCTAGATTTTAAGTCAGGTGGTGAAAAGTCTAGTTTGCTGGTCATTGGCTCAGTTAAGCCCATTACAGGATCAACGAATATTATTGTTTCAACAGAAGTGATATGTTCTAAGTCTGGTTCGAGGGCGGACGACAGACAAAAGGCTTTTTATCGCTTTGTTAACTTCTTTTTATTTGATTGTATTATCAGCCATGTGACGAACGTTATTTTGATTTATTGGATTTGTTGGATTTGATGATAAAAAAACTACTGAGTGCATATATCTCCTAGGATACTAAAATAATAATGAAAAGCTAAAAAACATTCGATGAATCTAGACACCTAGGAAGCCAACAAAATGCTCTGGGTAGGTAAATAGGCGTCCTACGTGGCCGACTAATTCACCTTGGCGCCAAATCAATTAGTCGGAGCGCCTAGACTAAAACTGGGGTGACTGGCCACCACCTAGCGCCTAGGCGGGGACTAGTCAGGCGTCTAGAGCGATTTTTAGAACATTGAGTGTACTACAAACAATCACAACAACAACAACAACAACAAACAACAACAACAACAATCAAGCCTTATTCTCAAAAGATTTTGGGGTAAGCTAACATGAATCGATTCATGATACTAGAGCAAAAAAAGAAGAAAGATAAGAAGAAGACTAAAAAGTAAGATAAAATGGATAAGATAAAGATAAATATAAGATAACAATAACATAAGAACATAAGAAAGGTGAGTAGTTGGCAACATATTCCTGTTGAGTTCATACATGATGCATTTAGAAATGGGATTACTTTTAGACATATTCTTCGAGAAGGAAATAGGAAGGCCCACTTCCTTGCAAATCTTCATGCGACCCATTTTCGTACTTGGACAGAAGAGCAGTCTTTACCGGCCAAGGCTTGGTCCCCCAAATTAATCACTTTTATTTTATTGCTATTCTATTTTGAGAAGGAATTCTTTCTCTGAAGAGGTATAAGTTTAATCTCCCTCTTCCTTTTTTACTTTTTGTTCTTATTAATATTACTTGGCAAACGTTCCCCGATGTTTGTCCCACCGATGAGTGGTTCATCTACAGGGTAAAAACACATAAGAAAGATAAAAGAATACAATACAGATAAAAGATAAAAATAACAAAAGAACATAGAAAGAAAAAGAAGATAAACGATAAAAGAAAAGGAGAAGAGAGAAAATAGATCAATCATCGACACAAATGTGCGCCCTCCACTCCCATCCAACCCAATTAAGAAGACACATATACCAGTTCTGATTTCTCTGATCCAAGACTGTTTGAGTCATCCTCTCCCTCTCCTCCCCGCCTCTTCTACCCACCTCTCAAGTCGTCTAACAAGTGCATCGCTCGGCCTTCTACGCACATGACCAAACCATCCCAATCGAGACTCATGCATCTTATCTTTTATAGGTGTTGCTCACACATTTTGTCTAATTATCCCAACCCTCAAATAGTCCTTTTTGGTATGTCCACACATCCAACACAACATACACATATATGTCAAACTCATCTTTTGAATATGACATTGTTTCACCGTCCAACACTTTACACAATACATTAATGCAGACATACTTGTTGTTCGATAAATTATTTTACCCTTCAGTCTAGTCGTATAGAAATTATGATGCACTCTTCCATTTCACCCACCATGTTCTAATTTTATGGGATACGTCTCTATCTAATTCACCATTCTTTCTGAATTATGGAGCCCAAGTAACAGAACATATCGCACACTGATATCTCTTTGCCATAAAAAGAGCATTCCCACTGTTATACTACTTTCATAAAACAAACTTGCACTTCATATACTCAGTCTTGCTTCAGCTTAGCCCGAAACCTTTGGTCTCCAATATTTGTCGCCATACATCCAACTTGCTTCAACACCCGATTGCGTCTCATCAATCAATACACTATCACCGGCAAACATCATGCACTACGGTATATCTTCTTTAATTGAGTAATTTACTTTATAAGTTCATCCATGACTCTAGCAAATAAGAAAGGACTCAGAGTCGATCCTTGGCGCACTTCGATGGTAATATGGAACTCTGTGATCCTCCCTACACTAGTACGGACACTTGTAGTACAAACCTCATACATATTGATGATGATACTGATATACTTATGTGATATGTCTTTTCAAGTTAAGGTCCACCAAAAGACTTCTCGAGATACTATTAGTATATATGTCTTAGTGACAATCATTTTTTAGAGATATATGCACTTGATTACATTCAATTTTATATATTTGATATTTACGGTATTACACATTGATGATTAAGCATTTCAATTGTCAATATCTTATTCATAATTGTGTTCCCTTGGACTTATGTTGTCAATAAATAAGTGGGAGCTTATATGATATACCATTAGGTCAAAAATAGCCCCAGTCAATGATCATCAAGAAAGAGATATTGATGATATGCGATAAGATTGGTATGTGGACTGCATCATACTTTTAGAAGATATAGTTGATCTCGCAACTATGAGTTCCTGTAATTCATGATGATCACATATATATTTTAGAGAATATTGGCATACCCACCGAGAAACCATTTGATAAGTTCTATTCATGTGCCTATGGGACTATCGGCATATAGAGTAGTGTAATAGTCCTCTAACTTGAGGTCAATACGTAGTACTACATGTGTGGAGTGATGTACTTTGACCATGAGCAATGCTTGCACTCTGATCGAGGTAGATACAGCATGTGTTGGGTGCATCACGAAGCACATGGAGTAGTAGTTGAGCCAAGAAAGGATTCATTCCTCGTAATAGATTAAAGAGAACATTCTACTTCTCATATGTAGATGGATCATAAAATCATTGGCCAATGCAAAGATATATTCGTTTTGGATATCGAATATGATCGTTATGGGTCGTCCAGAAAGATTGAGAGATAGAGATTAAGTTATTGGAATAGATACAATTTCCAGTTCTAGACTCAGTTGAATGTTCGTTGAATGAAAGGACTGTCACTATGAGTTCTATATTACAGGGAGTTTGAATAGTCCTCGCAAACATCATTATATATTAAGTTTGTCTGAAGAATCGTCTAGGGGCACAACATTAAAAAAGAGGTGCAAACTTCATCCAAAATACGATTTGCAAACTTAAATTCCAAAGAATTTGAAAAATAAGGGCACAACATTTGAGGAAATAATAGGGGTAATGAATAGTGTAGAAAAAGTAGGAGAAAATGTGTAAATATATATATATATATATATATATATATATATATATATATATATATATATATATATATAAGATAAAAAGTAGAAAAAGTAAGGGTAATTGAATATTTTTAAAGGAAAAAACTTACCAAAAAAAGAAAAAGTGTAGCAAACTTTTAAATACATCCAAGGAAAATATAACAAATTTTAAAACACTGAGGGAGTACATATCATTCCAGAAAATAAAATAATCAAACTCAAATTCTTCTCAAAATCATGTTTTTGCATTGGGATTGAAGGCAACCCATGCCTTTCAAGAATCACCGCGGAGAGAGACGAGTGAGTTGAAGGCAAAGTTTTAGAAGTGTTCGCAACAGCGCATGCTAGAGCCGTTCACGAAACGCCAAAGAGGCAAAGTGCATTGTCGGTTAAGTAAGTTGAGGCTGATAAATTAGAAAAATGAATCTTGAATTCAGTTTTGAAGATCCACAACTTTTTATTTCATTCTAAGGTGCATTTTTAACTGTTCTATTTAGCTATTCATCTTATATTCTCTTACATGTATTCTCTATGTTGATGCGTTGTTTAATCCATGAGTTCTTGTTGTTGATGTGATCGTGAGTCATATCCATTGCTTGGTTTGTCTTTATTCCCTTTATAATGCCTATTTTGATTTCTTCATTTTCTTCTTTTTCTTCATGTTAATATTGATTCAGGTGATTCCCTTCTTGAAATTCAGACGTATTTGTAAATTTGTATTTTTCCCGAGTTACTAGAAAACGTTGGCATCTGATTGTGGTGAAAAAGTTTCCGTATTGTCAATGAAATAGCTTTTGTGATCTGCAAGCCGCTGTTAGTGGGCAAATCCTATAAAAAATTTCAAGACTTTTCCTGTTAATTTGGAGTATTTCTTGGTTTCTTTCATCATCTGCTAGAATTTGGCAGCAAACCATTTTTTATTTCTTCCTTCAATTGTATACTTGGATCTATATTACCCCCTTTCTCAGTTTCTGCTTCTTCTTTTCTTTCCTCTCACATGTGCTAATGAATTGGAGGTTAGATATTTATTTAAAATTAGCTTGATAATCCTTTACTTAGATGGGAACAATTGGAGATCAGTGTGTATTTTCTCTAGAAAAAACATACCGTATGGTTTGATTTATTGTGTGGTTTGACACATTGGAATATTTGATGTATATATGTGTTTTTACTTCAATATAGTACCTAGATTTATGTCCTTTAGTTTGGAATTTTGGGAACTTTTCAATATATTTCTACATTTCCTTTATTGCAGCTCATTTTTGGTGATCTGGCACAAGACTAGATTGATGTGCAATGCATAGATTTTGCAAGGATCTTCAGACAAGGTCTTTGGAGAAAGCATTCTGTGGAAAATATACTTCATCAAGGATTACTCTTCTGGCTCTTCTACTGTGGGTACTAGTCTTCGTTTTAAATTTGTGCATTAGCCATGGAGACATGGACAAAGGTTGGTTTCCCTACCAAAATGTCAGATTCTTAGAACTTCACATAGATGAAACACAAAAAGAACATTATGATTCATCAACATTATTTAAAACATAACAAGTATATCCCACTCGGAGTTCGGAAGTAGGGTTTGTGGAGGGTGAGATGGACGCAGACGTTACCTGATAGTACTATGGGGCCTATTCAGTATTTTGACAAAGTCTATAGGAGGAGAAATAAAGAGTTTACTAATTAACAGCAAGCCCACTAGCCTTTTATCCCTGTGTGGATATTTTTACTATAAATAGAAAGGGGGAATAGCCTAAGAGGGTAGACTGTTATTTTGATTACATGTTGCCTTGTTGCCTAAGTCCCGGGTTATCTTGTTGCCTACGGTTTATCTCCCTCCATCAATAAACACTATTTCCCTATCCATTATCAGATCCTTGCTTGTTTGTTTACTGTATTGCCCAGATCCTTGCCAGGTACCTATCATTACCTCTTCTCCTAGGAGTAGAGAGAATGTTAGATTTTCCATGAAAGAACTCCAGTAATGAAAAACGGAAGGTTAGGAGGTTTATTAAAAATTGAAAGTTTTTGTATAACAAACGACGCGGATAAAAAGGCATCCAAAGTGAAATGCAGTATGAACAGTGCCATATTAAAAAATGTTTGGTGAAGCAATAAATATAGCTCCGAATAGAGAATACAGTTGTATGTAAGTTGGTAACACGATATCTTCCTCATTTCACTTGAGATTGGTTTATGTTGCTCTATGCCCATAATGTCTTTTAATTAGTTCTTGTTTGCATCTATCTTTGGTGGAATCAGATCCAGGATCTGGGGAGCATCAGTTTGGTAGTACTCAATATGCGGGTGAAGATAAACTTGTGTATGGAAGAGGAAGCCATTCTGCTTCATCTGCAGATGAAAACCCCTCAGAGGGGATCCTTGATGCTGAAGAGTTGATCAGTGTATCGTTTGAACAAACCGATGACACCCCCAGTGAACAAACCGATGACACCCCCAGTGAATCAGAGAACACAAAGTCAGACAAGGGGAAATCAGAAGCAATAACTAATCTAGAAAAGGAATTCAAGTCTGATAGGTTTTCTCAGTCAATCACTCTAAGTCTTGATGAGTTCCGAAACAAAGCAGTCAATACAAAAATACGAGATCTAAATGATCAGACCGGAAGTGTCGCACATAGAGTGGAACCGGGAGGAGCAGAGTACAACTATGCTTCTGCTTCCAAAGGGGCTAAGGTCTTAGCTCACAACAAGGAAGTCAAAGGTGCTTCCAATATCTTGAGCAGAGATAAGGACAAGTACCTTAGAAACCCTTGTTCTGTTGAGGACAAGTATGTTGTGATAGAACTATCAGAAGAAACTTTAGTAGATATGATTGAGATCGGCAATTTCGAACACTACTCTTCCAATCCAAAGGATTTTGAACTTCTTGGTAGTCCTATTTATCCAACTGATGCATGGGTCAGTCTCGGCAATTTTACTGCTGGAAATGTCAAACATGCTCAAAGGTTTGTACTTGCAGAACCAAAATGGGTGAGATATGTGAGACTGAATCTTCTTAGTCATTATGGATCAGAGTTCTACTGTACGTTAAGTGTCCTGGAAGTGTATGGAGTTGATGCTGTGGAGAAGATGCTGGATGATCTTATCTCTGTTCCAGAGAAGAAGTTTGTTTCTGATCAAACAAACAATGAGCAGAAACCTATGCTTGAAGACAGTCATTTAGAAATTGACACTGAACTTGAAAACAACTCTGATACCATCAAGCCTATGGCAATTATGGCGGTAAATGTGCCTGATCCTGTAGAGGAGATTCGCCATCCACAACTAAACAGGATGCCTGGCGATAGTGTTCTGAAAATCCTAATGAAGAAAATTCAATCTCTTGATATAAACTTATCTGTCCTTGAGCGGTATCTAGAAGAACTGAATTCTAGATATGGAAAGACTGTTGCCATATTTGACAAAGATATATTAGAGAAAGAAGCCCTCCTCGAAAAGATCATATCAAACATGAAGAGTTTTTCCAAGAGCCAGGATGCTGTGGTATGTATGAAATTCGTTACATGATGATAAGCTCTCTAGTCTCTTCTCGTAATTCTTTTATTGTAAAACTGTAAAAAGGTTTGCACTTGGTGGTTTAGTCAGAAATCTCATATTAAAGGCCTCAAGGGGGCGGGAGCTTAAAAATCTATGGGGGGGGGCAAAGCTTCACATTCGTACATACTATTTTCTATAGTTAATAAATATTGTGCACACACAATGAAATTATTTGGAGGGGCTGCAACCCCCTAGAGCCCCTCGTCTCCACCGCTGTTTCTCCTAACGCAAGGGCCGTTCCCTTGCACATAGAATACTGGTGGATGAGTTAAACTGCGAGGTACATAATTCGGTATGTGTCTCTTTGTCCTTGCTTGTGTACCCCTGCCTACAATGGATTCAAATAAATTGGAGTTTGCACGCTGCATGCTACTCTAGTAGGTCTTGAACTTGGGTTGCTTAGGGAACAGGGGAAGGGGGGATCCGCCAAGCAAAACTTGCTAGTGCTCTAAGCATTTTCATATTGTTAGTGCCTTAATGGAGACGTTGTCATGTTAAGTGTGTGATTCAGTTAAAGCCTTTCCTTTTTGTTGTTGTTGCAGAGTAAGGAGGTGAATGATCTGTTGTCATGGAAGTCCATTGTTTCCATTCAGCTGGAAAAGATAATGATGGACAATACTAATCTCAGGTTTGGGGTTTCCTTCTTTTATTATTTTATTGCTTATAGTCTGAATGTATTGGCTAGTCTGAGTAACCCACCCTTCTTACTTGATGTGCGTGTTAAAAATGCCAGGTTGAAGGTGAAAGAGGTTCACCAGAGACAAGTGTATATGGAAAGTAAAGGCATTTTTATTTTTCTACTTTGTTTAATGTTTGGGTCCATAGCAGTTTTGAGGATCATTATAGATTTTATTTTGAGCATTTATAGACCTGAGAGCTCCAGGAATTTTTTTGATAAAGACCATTCCTGGATTTTTTTGTTATTCAGCTGTACCATCACTATTATCATCCTATCCTTATAGATTACTTCGTATATTTTATTAGTTATTTCTTTCAGCGTTCTTGTTATGAAGATTTTCATTAAAAGAACTCTAACTCATCTCAAATTAATAATAGGGTAATTTAATTTTTAGCGTGATATTTTATTGAGGGGTTTTATTAAAAATAATATAAAAATATGATTACTTTTTAAATTATCCCAAAAAAACTACTCCGTAATAAGCTATATTATTTTTATACAATCTCTAGAAATGAGATTAGCAGTGTTCAAATTTCAAATTTTCTAATATTTGTGGTGGGAAAATAGTGAAAATAATATTTGATTTTTAAAAATAGAATTACGTCTGGTTAATATTATTTTAGCTTCTCACATATAAATATCTAATTTAACATGCCATATTTTATTATTATTCTACAGAACTATGTTATAAACTTATAATTAGTGGTGGACTCGGGCCGGTTCGGGCCCGGGCCGGGCCTAGGCCCGACCGGGCCGCCGGTTAGGAAATGTTGGGCCCGGGACCGGCCCGGGTAGCCACCGGGCCGGGCTGGGCCTCAGGCCTCTTACATTTTTTTTCCCTTTTTCTAATTACCCCCAACCCCCCAAACCACCCCAAATGACCCAAAATACCCAACCCTGAGATTTAAAAAAAAAAGTTGAAAAAAAATCGGAACTGGGCCCGGACCGGTTCATGTTTTGGGTTACCTGAGCCCGGACCAGAACCCCCTCGGGTCGGGCCTATCCAGACCGGTCACTGGCCGGGCCGGAACGGTGTCGGTCCCGGGTCGGTTCCAGGTCGGGCCACCCGGCCCGAGTCCCTCACTAGTTATGATGCAAACGCTTAAATGGAATATGACAAATTGACATTTGATTAATAGGAGAATAAGAAAGTAAAAACAAATGAGGTTGACTAAATAAAAAATAATCACTCTTTGTACTAAATTTAAGAGAAAACCTCAAAACAGTACATGTAGTTAAAGTTTATTGAGTATACGTATATTTACTTTGTCAATATTTCATATTAGTGATGTTCAATCATTCAGTTGTGACGGTTGTGTATATAAGAAGATATTCCAAAATTGGAGATATCAATCACATACAAAGTATTTTTTGAAACCAAAAAAATTTCATCCATAATTTATATGACAAATGTATATATTAATAAACTTCTCCTTTTGCAAATTTTAGTAACAAATTGCTTCCTGCACATATACGCCCAATTTATTTGTGTCACAAACATATACTCTATTTGTTACGAGTATCATTTTTAAGACGAATTGTGTGTGCTACCGACAAAAAAAATTCAATGATTTCTTTTCCCGTATTTCGGTGGGTGTTTTGGTGAGTTAGTTATATTTGTGGGTTGATTAACAACTCAAAAGGCCCAATACTTAGCAAGAAGGAAAAAGGACGATAAGTGGGTCGAGTTCTATTAAGCCTATGTTTGGCACACAAAAGACTCTAGCTTCTAGCTTCTCTATTCTTTAAAAAGACCTTAAAAGACTCTAGTTGTATGTTTGGCATGACATTTTTTAAGAGCTTTTCAAAAATCAAAAGATCTTTTTTGAGATGCTACCAGGTGTAGCATCTGAGAAAAGCTCGTGACTTTTAGTTTAAATTAGTCCTAACAGCTTGTATACCAAACCGAACTAAATCAAACAGTCAGCTTTTTACCAAACAGCTATCACCTTTTCTTTTTAAGATCTTTTCAGTCACTAAAAGCTAACAGTTACTAAAAAACTCGTAAAAGTATCTTTTTAGCTAGTTGTGCCAAACATACCCTAAGTATTGAGAACGATTACAACACACTCTACTAAGTCGATCACTGAGCCTCTAATCTAAGCCGTGATTACAGAAGAATGAAAAAGGCTAGAGCTAGTGAGTACATGTTGTCAATCCCTAACAATGAAATAAAAGATACCGCCTCTGTCGTACTAACAATGGTACAAGAGGGAGTGACACACATACCAATAAAAGTGAGTTTATGTTGTTGGTATTGAATTGATAAAGTAAGAATGGTTTAGATTCGCACAAATTTTACTAAATTTGACATTGGACAATCTTAGTGGGACAGATCGAAAAGAACAAATGGGACAATCTTAGTGGAACGGAGGGAGTAGTATTTATACTACCATGAGATAGGTGGTAGTGATGATGTGGCGAACCTTGAATGACTAATCTTCCAACCACCAAATATTGTATATCAGGTGCATTTAATACGGTTTCCGCCAAAATCCTCACTTTCCCATCAACAAATCTGAGTCTGCTAGGTCTCTATGCTTGTCGGTGCAACAGCCCAAGGATGTGGTGTCGAGCGACGCGTGCCGCCGATGCTGGACCGAGCGACCCCAGGGCCTTAGCGGGTTTCTGATTCTATCTCTCCACGAGGTATTGGGCCGAGCGTCGCGTGCGCGCACTCTTGTTTCTTCAATTTTGTTCGTTGTTTCTTTTCCCTCTCTAGATCTTTTAGCTTCTTTAGCTTCTTCGGTTTCTCCTTCTTCGCGTTCGAACGTCGACCTCCATCGTCGGAAGACACCATTTTATTTTTTGTTCCGGGCTCAGAAAAACGAAATAAAATCGATGAAGCGAAAGAAAGTGGGCAAGAGGCGTTGGAATGAACGCAACAGGCACATGTGTGGCATCTTATTATTTAGGGAAAAAATAATAAAAATTACCCCAAACTTTGAGGCAATGTGAAACAAATACCCCAAACTTGCATTTGTAATTTAAATACCCTAGATTTTATATAAAAAATGGTTTTCGCACCATTTTAATGTATTATTTTTTTCAAAAAGTAAATTTATGAGGTTAATTACATAATTTAAAATAGAAAAGTAAAAGTGTTGCAATTATATAGATTGGGGTAATGTTTTTATTTCGCTATGGAAGTTTAGAATATTAATTGTGCATTCCTGAATTCAAAAAACAAATTATGCAATTAACACCATAAGTTTACATTTTTGAAAGAAATGATACGTAACTATGGTGCTAAAATAACTTTTTATTTAAAGTTTGGGATATTTAAATTACATATTCAAGTTTAGGGTGCTCATCTCACACCCCTTCAAAGTTTGGGGTATTTTAATTAATTTTACCTATTATTTATATTAAGTACGCCAAATAACATTAAACATTAACATACAAATAAGACTAAAATCTAAATCTTTAATTTATAAATACGACAACACATTAATTACTACTCTTAATCTAATTATTTGCCATTTTGTCCCCCCTAGTTCCCATGTGCAACTGGGTCAGTCCATTGCTTGGTGTTGGGTCAGTTCGGTGATTATGGCGGTGTTCGAGGGACTTCTAGCGACGGGCAACGGTGGCAGGCGGACTGAGGAAAAAATATCTTGAGTTTTTTGCCCAACCAATGCTCTGGAGGCGGCGGCGATGGAGGGTGGATGGTGGTGGCAGGTGGTGGCAGTAGAGGGATTAATATATGCAGGCCATTTTCGTCCAATCACAAAAAAACTCATGTTTTGGATATTTTCAAACTTCTACTGCTATTTATGATTTTGTCCATGTTTTGCTCTTATTTTGATAATTCATTCCATTATTTACATCGCAAAAAAAACGATGATTTTCGCAATCTGGTTTTTATTTTAGAAATGGCTCAATATGAAAATCGTAAACTCAGCTAGTAGAGTATCAAGATATTTTCATTCAACATCAAGCTCCCTCTATTGGACATACGAACTCTGGAATTGAGTATACAAAATTGCAAAATCTTATTTGAGCATCAAATTTTTTTTATTATCGTGTTCTCTTCTATTGAGCATCAAGATGATATGTATTGAGCATTATAAGAACATTTTGTAAATCCAATTTAATGAAAAGGTGAGACGAGACGATAGGCGAGGTCTGTTCTTTCGCTGCAGGGGTGTGGCTTCGTATTTCGTAACAAAAGAACAGAGCATCTGGGACAGATGAGCGTCCTCAGTTGGAATTGCAGGGGACTTGATAACCCGGCAACTATTCAATGTCTGACTGACCTGGTGTGTTTGTACCGACCGGCGATTGTTTTCCTTATGGAAACAAAGGTTCGATGCTAGCGTGCAAAGGAGATCTTGCGGACGAAGGGTTTTACTAATTCAGAGAGGACGGACAGTGGGGGGCTGGTCTTGGAGTGGAGAGAAGATGCCGAAGTGGAAGTGACAAAGATTGATCAAAACTTTGTGGACAGCCGGGTTGTACTGAGTACTAACGAAGTGCCATGGAGGTTAACGGGCTATTACGGCTTCCCTGACACATTCCGACGACGAGCAGCATGGAACATGATGGAGGAGAGTTGGCTGCCGGAAACAATAGCCCATGGATGATGATTGGTGATTTTAACGATATCCTGTTTGATTCGGAGAAAAAAAGATAATATTCCACACCCTCCATGGAGAATCCGGGGTTTTCGAGAGACAGTGGATAGTTGTGGACTAAGAGATTTTCCTTTCTCAGGTTACCAATGGACATGGGATCGGGGTAAGGGCACGGCTCATTGGATGGAGGAGAAACTTGACCGCATCCTTGTTATCGATGCATGGTGGGATATGTTCCCGGGGGCTCAAGCTGCTTCTGTGGAGGCTCCGGTGAGTGATCATATGACGCTTCATGTGCAGGTAAAATGCATCTCTCCGAATGGTAGGAAAAAGTTTTTTAAATTTGAGAACAATTGGATCAAGGAGGGGGAATGTAGGGTGGTTGTAACTAATAGCCGGGGGTGACCAGCCAAATGCCTATAAATCAAAGAATTGGTTTTTGTGGTAATGAATTGCTCAGATGGGATAGGGGAAGAAGGAGGGGATTCCGTCACCAAGTTATGGAGTGCAAATCAAGACTAGCCTGGTTAAGGGGCAAGGATGACCGGGCAAGTGTACTTGAATTTTTCGCTCAGTTTTGCAGACCTTACTAGAAAAGGAGAATCGGTTCTGGAAGCAACAAGCAAAGGAATTCTGGCTAAAGGAGGGAGAAAAGGAGGGGGATATTAATTCCCGTTTCTTTCATAATGCAGTTAAACAGAGAAGACGGAGAAATAAAATGACGGGGTTGAGAAGAGCAGATGGTTCGTGGCTAACCAACCGGGGAGAGCT